AAATCAAAATTGTCATATTCTATGATTTTAGAAATTTCAAAATTAGGTCCAGTTATAGGTTACCTAAAGACTTAAAAAGTTGTAGGTTGTATAAAAAAGTAAAACATGAAGATGGGAAGAGTTAAAAGATTTTTTTGACGTGCAAGGAATAAAACTGGATTAATAAAAGTTTTTATAGCATGAATGGACACATACAGTAAAAGGATGCAACTTGTTGAATAAGAAGCCAAGCAAGAATGAGTTTCAGTTTATTGTAATAGAGATGATAGCTCGTTTGACCTTAATAGTTTTGTAGAAAAAAGAAAGAAATGCAACCTTACAACAATCGGAAAGTGGTTCAAACTTGGCAGATAAAGCAGGTCTAATAACATTTACAATGTGCTTTTAGTTTTTTTGTTTGAGAGTAAGAGGGTTGCTATTTGTCAATATAGGAATGCCAACAATACTTCTTTGCAGTAAATAAATGAGTTTTGCTGTCTAACAAAAATTGTGGATTTTAAAGCCAGAATTAAAATCCATAAGCCACTGCAAGCTTTAGGCTGTTACAGAAGAGATATCAGATTAAAAATCAGCCGTTTGTTTGTTGTGCGCAAATAGAGCCACTTCAGATGTAAAATCTTCATGAAGATCGTATTGTAGATAAGAAACAATACAGGAACAAAGTTAGAACCTTGTGGTAACCTAAAGTTACTTGAAATAAAGAAGAGTGTAGGCCTTCAAGAATAACTTTAATACTGCAGTTAAAAAGAATAACTTTAATACTGCAGTTAAAACACCTTTATATAAAGAAACTAATAACAGAGTGAAAACTAATTGTAAGATAGTTGGAGAGGTCAAAGTATTTTCTAGAGTTTTGAAAAATTAGAATCACTTATTTAGCACTTTTTAAAAGTTTAGCAAAAAAAGAGTAATTTGAAATAAGGTATAAATGGGTGATACCGGACACACATTTGGAGGGTAGCTCCAGACACTTTATCTTATTTATAAATTAAAATTTTTGCAATTAATTTGTTTTTTTCACCATTTATGTTAAAAGTTACCTATTGATTATTGGTAATATTTTTTTATTTTATTGAAACATGATGCAAAACATAAGAAATATCAGTAGAAATAGTAAACGTAAAAGTAAATGTACACACAACCTATGAAATAAGCATAGTTAATTAATTTTCTAAGTTAATATTTGGCCATTCTCTCTTTGCTACCAGAACTGCTAATAGTCTCGTAGGCATTAAATGAACAAGGTGAGCACAGTATTCTCCAGTGATCTATGTGCACCATATTTTCTTCATAGTTTCTTTGAGGTCCACCAAAGAGGTTAGCCTGTAAGCAGCGACCTTTTTCTTTAAGGTAGCCTAGCAGTTTTCAATCGGATTAAGATCCGAAGAACTTCCAAGCCATGGGTTGATCCAGCTGATGCCTTGACCGTTGATCCAAATCTTGACAGTCTGTGCCATATGGCACAGAGCTCCATCCTGTTGGAAATGTGTGCAAATGTGCAACTCCATGAAGAATGGAGTTTTTCACCTTTTCTTTCAAGATTGAGAGGTAGATATTTGCATTGATTGTATTTCCTTGTGGCAGGAACCAGAGGCCACATTTTCCCCTTCCTGTAATCCCAGCCCAGATCATCACTGACTGAGATTTTTTGACCCTAGGGGTGGTGTAGTGTTGGTTATATCGTTCTCCAATGGGATGACGAACATGGCTGCTGAATGCGTAGAACTGTTTAGTGAGGGATTCATCAGTGAACATTACATGGCTCCACAGATGTGCAGTTCAGTCCTTGTATTTTTTTGCGAAGGCGACTCTGTCTTTTATGTTCTTTTGTGAGAGACGAGGCTGAGTAGCTGGATGGTAAGCACGGAGTTTGTAATCAACCTAGAGTCGACCGCGGATGGTCCCGCTACTAACTGACACCTAATCATGACTTGATTTTGGCAGAACAGCACGTGGGAGAGTCAACCACCATCCTTTTTATCATTCGGTCTGTTTGCTTGGAGGTGAAGCGTGGGGCTCCAGGAGACTTCCTATAGGAAAATAAACTAGTTTCATGATATCTTTTCACCACTTTTGATACAGAAGATTGACTGAGGTTCAATTTATTAGAAATTGCACTTTGTTTTATGCTTTCGCTTGATAAAGCAATGATTTGGGCAGCATATTCACTGGAAATATTATGACGCTTAACCATTTCTAACTAAGTGCCAAACTAAATAATTTTCACTTGCAAAGTAATATAAAAGAATAATTTCAACCTCTAACAACAATTTTGATTGGCTGTTAATATTTACACAATGAATTTAATCATTATATCATGCGATGATCAACTGTTTGGCACGTGATAACCGGAAAGGCTAATTATTGTCACTTTTTTTTCCATATTCTATCATTATGACCAGCATAGTAGAACTTAAAGTGTGTACAAGAAATAAATGTGAAAGTAGAAAAATAACTAAAAAAAAGTACTCTTCAATTTTTATTTTTAACCAAGTAATAACTTTAATACAATAATATAAGAAGATCAAATATAAAATAAAAAATCAAATTATTCCTGTAGGAATCTAATAAAATTTCGAACTTTTGCTTTGGTGGTACCCATAAGCTTGTGCACAGAATAAGAATTGAAGCCATTTGATGCTTTTTTAAATGATATTTTAATATCTTTAAAACTTCTGCAAATTTTTTTTTGTTTTTTTCATTTTTATTTTAATGATGGCCCAGTACTTTTCATTAACTCTTAATTCTGGGCAGTTTAGAGGATTTTCTGTTTTAGGCACAAATTTCACATTATTATTTTTATACCATTCCAAAGCTAGTTTACAATAATGAATTGAAGCTAAATCTGGACAGAAAACAGGTCTCTTGTCGTGTGATTTAATGAGAGGTAAAAGGCGTTTTTCTAAACACTATTTAACATATATTTGACCCAAAAGTGTGGACTGAGAAATATAAGATGCTGATTTTTTGCCACAACTGCAAATAGCTTGCTAAATCAAGACTTTTTTACCAAACTTGTCATGTTTTATGTATTTAAATTTCTTATCTGCTTTTCCTCTATATTTGGCAATATAATAGACGGCACCAGGAATTTGATGATGATCGTACTTGATATAAGTTTCATCGTCTTCAATAATACAGAAATTTTTAGAAATAAAACTGTCATACAACTCTCTGCAGCGGGTTTTTGCACTTTTTTGTTGAGTTTCAGATCGGTTGGGCACTTTTTGTGCTTTGAAAGAATGAAAACAATGTTTATTTCGAACTTTTACAACAAAACTATGAGAAAGTATATAAATGCTTGCGCGCTCCCTTAATGAAAGGCTTGGGTTTGTCTTAAAACTGTTAACCAGTTTTCTAACTCGTTTTTTATCTTTAAAACCCTTCTTTCTTCCAACACCAGATTTACGTTTGATCGATTTTGTTCGAGAAAAATGTTGGATTACACGACTAATGGTGTATGGATGTATTTGCAATGCTTTTGCTATCGAATTGTAGCTACTATTGGGATTTTCAAAATATTTGTGCATGATTTTTTCTTTTATGTCTTCTTTTGTCATTTTTTAAACTAACTTTAAGTTAAATCAAAAAACAAATACATTTTTTTGAAACCACAACATGTTGTAAACAAAATACAAAACAATTAGAAAAATTTTAATATAACCACTGAAAAAAAATGACGTCCTTATTCTTTCACATTTATTTCGTGTACATGCTTTACTTTTAAATGTTGTGTATGGCTGCTCTCTTTCGTATGGCATATTAATGTGAAATCTCCTTATTTATCATTTGAATTTATGGGAAAAATTGTTATTGTTCCCATAAATTCAAATTGTTGTTTTACACTCTCGTTTATTTGATTATTAATATATATATATATATATATATATATATATATATATATATATATATATATATATATATATATATATATGTATATTATAAGACAGTATGTAAATAAATAGCAAATATATATATATATATATATATATATATATATACATATATATAAATGTAAAATATAAAATTTATTATACATATCATATATCATGTATTATAATATATCAAAGCTCAATCTAATATACCCTGCTAATATTAATGTTTAACCAGGTCTAACTCAATATTTTGTCAGGGTCCTAGATACTCAATAATCAGTGCTGTAAAGTTTTTGTACATTTAAAAAAATGCAAATCTTACTGTATGAAGCGGAGAGCTCTCTAAATTTTGTGCGCAAATCTTACACTTGCCATCAATGACTTTAACAGATAAATACCTGATCCAACCATATCTCCTAAATAATAAAACTTACCAACATGATCCATTTCAATCTCTTTTTTGACCTCACTCTATTTACCTAGAGTACATTTCTGACTTAAAGCTATCCCGATGTAAAAAGAGGGGAGGGGGACTTCCAGGAGTTTTTTTAATCTTTAATCCTGCTAAGGTTTTTTCACCTTTTTTGTAAAGAGAATATAATATGATAGTAATTCTAGTCAACTTTTAGTGAGAAAAAAACTTTATGATGTTATAACCTGTTTCGACTATTTTGTTTTTAAAAAACTCCATCACTTTGGTTTTTTCCAACTCTTGGAAAATAAAACACTTTAAATATTAAATGATAGTTGATATGTATGAAAAAACCAAACTTATTGCCACTTTAATTTAATAAAAACAAAATATCAATAAAGTAAAATTTATTAATATTGCATATTTAATAATATTGCACAATGAAATTTATAAAACATTTATGATTATTGCATAACTTTAAAAGTAGTGTTAAATCAGACTTCATCAAATAAATTCTTTTTTTAATTTAACTTAATTTTTTAATCCAGAAAATTCAAAAAAATTTCTTGTAAGATTAAAAAAAATGAAAGTAACATTTTAAATTACTTAAAACTTTTTACCCATGCTATAAAATAGTAAAAACATAAGATCTGACAAAAATAATAATTTAAAAATTATGAATTAAAGAAAAAATAAAAAATTTAAGAGCTTACTTTTTAAACTATCAAATTTTAAGAATAATTCTTCAACATCTTCGTGTTTAGGACCAAAAGAATTAGTAGGTTTAGGGTCATCATAATTTCCATGATACGAATGTGTTTTTTCGAGCAAATATATAACTTTTGGTAACGATGATGATATCAGATGAACTTTTTGATCAGGCTTACCAAAAATATGTTTTTTGAATGTTGCATTATAAGGTGAATGAAAATTTATTTGAGAAATACTATCAACTGAACTAGAAAATAAAACATCTGAATTTTTATTTGTAACTTTAAGATAAGTGTCAACAAACATCAAACACCCAGGAAAATGACTGTCTTCAGCATCATTCCCAACAAGAATATCATATACAAGCTTGTCAGCATAACATAGTATATAATCATCTCTTAGAGGAACAAAATTTTCATTGACAAAAGTTCCTTTAAATCTAAATGCACCAAACCAAGACTCGAGATCTCTTTGAATTCTCTTTGAGACTGTTAGATCATTGTGCAAATTATTAAACCTTTCAACTGTGTGATCAAGCTGTTTTCCTTGGTTGTGGAGAGACACAGCAGCATCGCTAAGTGTAGACTGTATGTTAAGTGCAATTTGCACTAAATCTTTTTCAGGCTTTTGTCTAAAATGCAAATAGTCGCATTTATTTACTTTAAAATAAATGTAACAGTAAAATTATTAAAATGTCAGTTTGCTTATTCTAAAAAATATGTTGATGAAAACATATGATGATGAGTACTAAGTATTTAATTTATTGTCTAAATATTGAATCTTTACCATTTAAAGTAATTACTGTAACCCATATTTTGAAAATAAATTTTTAAATGATTATTGAAATTTTTAATTTATTAGAGTTTTATTTGAAACCTCTATCTATATGTAATTTACTAGAGCAAGTTTATAATAATATGAAAATTTATGAAATAATATGAAATAATTATGAAAATTTATGAAATAATTAGAAACCTAGTATGACTAGGGTTATGTACAATTCACTGTGCATAAAAACAGGGTAATAAAAAATAAAATATAAAAAGCAAACTATAGTTATCAAAAAATATAAACTAGCCATACTTAAAGTTGTAATTTTTATACATACTAGAACTTTTACATAAAGTCATAAAGTGAAATTTTTACTGATTTTTACAAAAGCCACTAAAAAAGCAAATCTAATAAGCATATGTTAATAATATTTTTGTAAAACTTATACAACAGATCTTCCACTATAAATGTTGCCTTAAACCCAGCACTTATCTAGATATCAATGACAGATGAAAATACACTTATATTGACTAATCCCTCACATGCTCTAACCTAACAAACTAGAGTTCTACCTTTTGTTTTTGTTAGAGTTTTACCTGCTGTTTATTTCGCTCACAACATACACAGGCGAAATAAAGCCCATGCAAAATACAAATTTTTTTTTTATGTATTTAACAGTAAAATTCATTATTGTTTTTAAGGTTGGGTCATAAATACTATTAAAAATTTATAAACGTATAAAAAATATTTTACTTACACAAAAACTTTTTTAAGACGCACTATTTTTATAGTTGCTCTTAAAATTAGAAAAAAAAAAAAGTTTACAAAGAAAAGTAATGAATGAACTTTATATATATGAAAATAGGATGAAATGCAAAAAAATATAAAATTATATATAAAAATATAAATATAAATATAAATATATATATATATATATATTATATATATATATATATATATATATATATATATATATATATATATATATATATATATAATTTAATATTAATTGAAACCCTTTTTAAGTAACAATTGGCTTTTAACAATTGTTTAATGAATGTGCACATGAAAAACTTAAAGAAAAAATAACAATTTGTGGCAGTAACGTAAACAAAAGAAAAAATAAGTTAAATCAATTATTTAAAAAGTTGATATAATTTTTTTTTTTAACTTAAAGACATTTATAATAATTTTATCTTTATATAAATGTTAAAAAATATATATACTATTCATCAATATTTTTATAAAAAACTATTAGCAGTGATTTGTTACTTTATTTAAATGCATTTTAATAATATAAAAACATAAGTAAAGATTAAAGTTATTTAATTCAAACGGCTTTCAAAAAAGTTTGTCTTTTTTTTTCTTCTCAACAAGATCTTTCTACTTTTCAAATTAATCAACTTTAATAATTCATATATAAAGTATATTAATTATACATATATATTATTTATAATATATATATATATATATATATATATATATATATATATATATATATATATATATATATATATATATATATATATTATAAATAATATATATATATATATATATATATATATATATATATATATATATATATATATATATATATATATATATATATATATATATATATATATATATTATTTATAATATATAATTATATATTTTTTTATAAAGGGGGCTATTCTAGACCATTTTCGATAGTTTTATATATATAATTCAAACTTGTGTGGATTGGAGGATAGGTTATAGAAACATTGAGTATTTGGTTGGGAAATCTTAAATTGTTTCCAGAAATAAAAAATAAAGACTACTTTAAACTATGAAAATATCTTGCATAAAGTTGTCTTCAAGTTCAAGCTTTAATTTTTACAGGTTCTTGAGTTTTTAACCAGATGAATGAGAATCTTAATGAAGCAGTTTTACAACCTCAATTTTATAATAAATTTATTGAATGAAATGACAAAGCACAACTTTAAAGATATAAAGATATTCACTTTAAGCTTATTTTTGGGGAACTCATGAAAAAAAAACGGCATATTCAGGTTCATTGTGATTTTGCTAACATCATTCACTTTTCAAAAAATTCTGCTTCAATGCTAAGACGAGTCATCTGCTCATCATTATTTTGGTTGAAGCTAAATAATGACTCATAATGAGCAGATGACAGACAACGGCAAATTACTGCTGCTTTAAAGCAGCAGTAATTTACCGTCATCATTTTTCAATTAGTTTTATAGCAGCAATCTAAGCAGAACATCTGGTGCCTGAAAGGTTGTAAAGCAAGATCTTCTGTCTAGTGGGACTGCAGCTGAATACAAAAAGATCATATATTTTTATTTATTAAAATAATCAATGAAACTTATACATAAAAGTTAAGTATTGATGAACGAAAGCAACACCAGGCATTCATATACTGACAATTGGCTGCAGCCAAAGTAGCATCATAAAAATACTTTTGCAAGAGTTTATTCAATAAATCAATTCTAGGTAAATCAATTAGATTTTGCACTAATTTTTTCCGACAGTTTGCAACTCAGTTTTTTAAAAAGTGATGACATTCAGTTAATCTTTGATGACCCCCTAATATCTAGGTGCCTGGGGGATATGTGCCTCATTTGTCTCTCTGAATAAATATTTTTATACTCCCGAGATGATAAATGAAAGTTTTTATTATATATATATATTTTTAAGTTTTTTTTTAAAGTTTTGTTTAATAACTGCGTATACGAAAAAAAAATATTGTCATTAACTTTAATAATTTTTTTTCTGTTACTAAATATTTCTATAAGATAATTAGCTTAATAGAGATTAGGTTTTTGTAGTTTTTAATTTAATTTAATTTTTTTTCATTAGTAAATAGCGTTTATATCTAATATAATTGTCATTCAAACTTTTGCAACAAACTTTTTCACATAATAGTCATTCATAAGTTAATTTGGTTTTTTATAAAATTACTTACTTCTTTTATCTTGAGGCTTATAAAATACTTTAAATGATAAAAAGTTGCTTAATGGAAATTGCTCTAGACATACATAAAATTAACATGTACATAAATTGCCGGCAGCTTAATGCTTCAAAACAAGGCCTCATGTATATATATATATATATATATATATATATATATATATATATATATATATAATATATATATATATATATATATATAGGGTTGCCAGATACATAGTTGCCTTACATTTTTAGGTAAAGAGGGGTCATTTTCAAAAAAAAAAGGGAAGGGGGGTCATTTTTGATTGTTTTTTATTATTAAATTTGCGTGAAACAATGAGAATTTAATTAAAAAAGGAGGTTAATTGCAACCCGATAACCCCCCATGGTACGGGCATTGGGGGTGTACTTAAGTTTAGTAATACCTAAAACAGAATGTTTTTAAAATCTTGGGGTGCTAATGATTTTTGTTATGGTAGGGATGGGGGGTGAAACTCTGACCCTCTAGCCACAATACTGACATTTTTATTATTTAATAATAATAAAAAAGGAAATGGAAATGAATTTATAATTATCTTTAACATGTTTTTTTGCAGGCTATGCATCTATTTAACCAGATTGTTGGTAACTCTGGTAATCTCTCCAAATTAAAATTGCAAATAATATTTTTTAATTAAAAAAAAGAATGCAATGATCAGGTATACTGTGTTTAATAGATTAAATTATTTACAATAACATGTTTTGTCAAATAATATTTCTTGGAGGAGCCAACTTTACTCAGAAGAATTTTGTAAGCAATCATATATTTTTAAAACTGTTCATAAGTAAAATTCTTTAAATTATATTTTGTGGAAACGATGTCCAACACAGAGTCTACTAAAAGTCTGTTCCTTTCCTTTGTCTATAGAGCATTAATCAACGAAAACACTCCTTCAACATTTCTGTTGTGTCCTGGGATAACCAAGAATACTTCACAAATTTTAAGCTTTTCTGATAAGCAACTTATATTTGGACAAGTTTTAAAAAATAAAACCCACTGTTTATGCAAGGGTATTTTAAAAAACTGCTCATTTTTGTGTTGCACAAATGATTTTAGATTACAATATTAGTCAAACAGTAGTATATCATCTAAAATGATATCATTTTTTTTCAGGTATAAAATGCATAACAAAAGGTCATAAAATGTTGTCTTTTACTTTATTTAAATACATCCATCCAATGCACTGAAATTCATCAAAAGGTTTCAACCAATTTTTTTAAATTAAAGAATGCATGCTTCACACACTAGCTTAACTTCTGCCATAAAACAAATATAATCTTCTTCTCTGTCACTTTCTTTAAGCTTTTTTATTATACCTTTAAGCAATAGGAATGTTTCTTTTAACCGGCCTTTTAAAACAAACAAGGTAGAGTCAAAAAGCCTCACAACTTCGAAAACTGACGTTTCTTCCCTTTCATTTACTGTAATATTTACTTAAAATACAGACATCAAGGAATGCAAAAACCAAAGATAAGCTTCTAAAAACTTATTCTCAAAACATATTTTTACAGTAACAAGTGGTTGATCTACAGAAAGAAAATATATTTTTTAAACATCAAATAACCTCAGCAATATTTCAATAGCTGGAAACAAACTTAAGCATCTAGTTTTAGAGTGGTAAAGTAGTTAATGAAAACTTATGTCAATATAGTCATACAAATATTTTTAAAGCTTCTGTAGTAAATGTGTAAATAGAAAAATAATTGGATATTTTCAAGACAACAGTTTTAACATCAATCTTTATTAAATCTACTCCATGTTGAATACAGTTGAATACATGCTTGAAGTTTGAATGCAGTTGAATACATGCAAAATGTGGGCAGGACATCTAACACCTACCAACGATTGTTTTTAAAGCTGCTTTCAAATACAAGAACACATTTTTGTCTACTTTTCTATTAATGCTTTAATAGAAAAGTAGACAAAACCAGGTAATTGGTCCCTGGTTTATGATTACCTTAGTGCAAAAACTAAGGTAATCATAAACCAGGGACCAATTACCTGGTTTATGATTACCTTCGTTTTTGCTTTTGAACATAAAATATTTAATTTAATTTCCAAATCTTCAAATATAATGTGCAAATGTGTATTAAACCAGGTCATTTTAGGTCTGCAGGCCATTGAGTTGTAAGGCTGAAATTGAAAAACTATACTGTTTAAGAACAGTTAGTTTTGAATAGAATGAAATAATGTTCTAACATTTATTGTTTCAATTTTTATTTGTCAAACTGTTTGACAAATAAATGAATGGACATTAAGACAAAATGAACATTGCAATACACGGGTTTATACTCTCAGCTCCGTTCCATAAATCATCATAAAATTGTTTAATAAGACAAATATTTTGAACTTAAGTTAGTGATAAATTTGGTTTGGAAAGATATTTAGCGTTAAAAAATTTTATATCAAAGATTTAATATCAAAGTAACATCAATATGCTATACTCTGCTTCCCAAATTTTTTCTCAAATCTTCTCAAATTCTAGAAATTTTTACTTTGCTAAACAATTTTGAGATAATTTGTGGAACAGAACTGAGACTATAAATCTGTGGAAATGCGCAGAGTTAAAAGTAGAAATCAACATTTTAATTAAAGAATAGAACATTTTAAAAACTTTTTAAAAGTATACAGTTTTAATAATAGCTTAGTTTAAATGTGGTAATAAACATTAAAAAAAAGCATATTAAAAAATTAAAAACTAAAAATATTGAAAAAAACCCGGATATTTCTAATTCTTTCCGCTTTGCTTGCCGGACAGAGGACAAAGGATTAAAAAGGAGGACATGTCCTCGTTGCTGGACGTCTGGCAACCCTAAATATATATATATATATATATATATATATATATATATATATATATATATATATTATATATATAAATTATATATATATATATATATATATATATATATATATATATATATATATATATATATATATATATATATATATATATATATATATATATATATATATATATATATATATATATATATATATATATATATATATATATATATATATTCTGTAGATTTATCAGAAAGAAGTTCTTCTAGATGAACCTAAAGAAGAAGAAATAGCCTTTCGAAGACAAAATTAGATAAGTTATGTTACTAATTTATTATTTCTCTGTTCTTTAAGAACATCAAGCACTCATTTTGTAGAATACACTAACATAATTTACATATGTATGTTTATATATATATATATATATATATATATATATATATATATATATATATATATATATATATATATATATATATATATATATATATATATATAAACAATTTAAAATGTATTCTACAAAAAGAGTGCTCAATGTTCTTAAAAGAACAGAGCAATTACAAATTAGTAGAAAATCACTTAGCAAAATTTTTTCTCATTTAACACTGTGTTTTATCAATAAAGGATGATAAATGTTCATCAATCGGCGCCCAAATACAGTTGACACTATCTAAAATGGTCTAGAATAGCTCCTGCATACACACACGCACACACACACACACACACACACACACACACACACACATATATATATGTATATATATATATATATATATATATATATATATATATATATATATATATATATATATATATATACATATATATATATATATATATATATATATATATATATATATATATATATATATATATATATATATACATATATATATATATATATATATATATATATATATATATATATATATATATATACATATATATATATATATATATATATATATATATATATATATATATATATATATATATATATATATATATATATATATATATATATATATATATATATATATATATATATATATATATATATATATATATACATATATATATATATATATATATATATATATATATATATATATATATATATATATATATATATATATATATATATATATATATATATATACAAATATATCATACTTTAAATTTATATTCTTACAAGGTATGTTGTGTATCTGGATTATCCTTTTCAAGACTTAAACCATTCCAAAAATGATGAATGATGTTGAAAACATTATTGCTGTTATTAAAGGAAGAGAAATATAAGCAACCCACCTTAAATTTAATCAGTATACAAGGATATATATAACTTGACTTTCCTTTTTCAATACCAAGAACTGTATTGAATGGTATATGAACAACTTGGTTTGATTTTGGTTCAACAAATATCAAACCTGGCAGATATAAATGAAGTTTTCCATTTTTCCAACATTTGCCAGAGTCTTGATAGTACGAACAACTCCAATTAAATAAAGAAAGCATTTCCTCTTGTGAAAAAAATATAAAACATATAACCTTAAATTGTAATTGTCATATAAGTAACACGTCTGGTCATGTAACTATAGATTAGTCTTGCCGTATTTATACAAATATGTGTATGTAGACATACATATATCTATAAATGTTTATAAATACATACATACACACACATATATACTATATATGTGTGTGTATATATATATGTTTTAATAATAATAATATATATGTTTTAATAACAAGTTAACTTTTCATTTTCAATCCCTTAACCCTTTTTCACAATTTAAAACCCATCTTTTTGACTTTTTGGTAGAAAAATACTCTAATTAAAATCATAGGCTTATAATAGATTATTATTACTATTGTTATTAGTATTATTATTATATGTGATGTTAATATTACTTACATTTTATTTACATTTTTATTACCGTCATTATTACTTATTAAAATTGTTTAATATATAAATGTGATATTTGTTAATATTATTATTATTGTTATTATTATTGTTAATTTTATTGCTATTATTATTGTTGTTGTTATTTATTGTTATTATTAATTTTATTATTGCTGTTATTATTGCTTTGTTATTATTGTTATTATTGTTGTTGCTGTTATTATAACTACTAATATAATCATTATTATTGTCATTATTATATTTAATAGTATTATTGATATTATTATATTCGCCTTCATTTAATTTACATTACTATTATTATACGATTGCTAATATTATTTAATTGGAGTTTACCTAAGATTAGTAGTACTAATAGTACTCGTACTATTTGTAAACAACCATGATATGTAAACTTTTATTTTAGAATATATATTGTTATTGTTGTACAGATATATATATATATATATATATATATATATATATATATATATATATATATATATTTATATATATATATATATATATATATATATATATATATATATATATATATATATACACAAATATATAATATTATTATTAGTTTACCCAATCATTGGGTAAACTAATAATAATATTATATATATATATATATGTATTACTAATATATGTATGTAATATATATATATATAATATATATATATATATATATATATATATATATATATATATATATATATATATATATATATATATATATATATATATATATATATATATATATATATATATATATATATATATATATATATATATATATATATATATATATGACTAAAATCTAGGCATTGGGCCAATGCCTAGATTTTATATTATATTTTTTGAATATATATGTAAAAAATACTGATTTATAAAATTATTAATTTTTAAATAATAATTTTTTTTTTCTTTTTTCTTTTAAACTTAAAATTAGCTTCGGGAAAAAATAATTTTTTTGTAATTAAAAAACTGCAGTGGCTACGGGGAAGTCTAGACGTATCTTAGACAAACTTTCGGACGTGGTAGAGAAGTTGATAATAAATTTTTATATAAATATTATTTTTTAAACCGTTTGTGAGCTTGCGTGGCTTTGAATGTAAGGTGGAGACCATATATAAATTACTTATAGTAATTTATATATCTATGGTGGAGACAGTGTACGGGCAGTTTTTTAGTTAGTTGTTATGATTGTTTAAAATTTTAATAAATAGGTGCATTTATCGAATGAGATGGCTGAATGCACAGCGGAGTGTACAGACATAGACTGACTTAAATATGGATAGGCGCAGCGGAGTGAACACGATTTACTGAGGGTTTTGATTAGGCCACGCACTCTGTTGTAATAAATAATAAACTTATTCCCATATAACTATGAATATTTAACATAAATTCATATTTATAAAATTAATTAATAATAAAATATCAATAAAATCCAAGTGCAGTTGAAAATGATCCAAAAAATTAAAGTGATAAATTTTGCGTCATAAAGCATAAATGTTTGTAGCGGAAAAACCCAGACCAAAGATTCTTTTTTTTTAAAAAAAATCTTCTTAAAATCCTAATCGCTTGTCCAAATTTGAAGAAGATTTTAAATGAATACGTTTAGGTAAAATGAACATCAGAGTTTAATAATTTGATCTGTTCTGATCGTTTATTACCGCTTTTTCTTAAATGTAAACTCTCTTTCTTTGTCGTAATTTTAATACTTTTTGTGAAAATTTATAGAAATATTATATTTTGATAACTATATATATTTAATATACGTTAGAAACAATTACAACTAGGATCATTAGTAAATTAAGGAACTTTTTCAAAAGATTTTACTAAACTCATGTTAAGGCCGATGAGCGAAAGTGATCTAAAGACTACAAAATTGTGTTATTTAGATTCACTGTTAGGGCAGGGCCGTCGACACCTATTTCAAAGTGGAGGGTCACAATCGTCAATTTCTAAAAAAAGCTCCCTTTATCTTGAATTTTCTAAAAAAAAAAAAAAAAAAAAAAGGATCCTTTAGAAAAAATAGTGGAGGGGGCCCTGGCCTCCCGACGTCGTTGGTCCTGTAGGTGTAGTAAAAAGGTTTTGAAAATTATATAAAAAGGAAATGTTTCTTTAAACTTTAAAAAAGCCTGAAGCAAAAAAAATTATAACATCAAAAGCTTTTGTTTAGACATAGTACGCTTATTAAATCATGCTAATTTCAAATAAAAGAATTCGAATAATTTAAAGTACTAAAACACAAAACAATTTGTTAGTCGGAATTTTATTCAAAAAATTTTTAACATCTGCTTTGATATATTTTTATATTAAAATTTTTAGTTTTTTATTTATTTTTTAATATTAATTTCAATCCATTAATATTATATAGTCAAAGTAAAAGAGTTTATTTACACATAGTGGTATAAAAACAAGAAAAATAGCAATCACATTTATTTGATAGATTTAAATGGATTGAATATATAGTATATATCCTACCCAGGGCCGTCCTAAAGAGATTTTAAGGAGGGGGTAGGGGAGCATCTGATTTTTGCTAACTAAAGCCAAAAAATTTTTTTGCTGTCTAAAACCTAAAAAAAAAAAAAAAAAATCCTTGTTAGCTGATATTTTCCACAGATCCTATTTTGCCGACTCCAGCGTCCAATAATAAATATATATACCACGAGGAATTTTTGTAATCGATGGTATTTCCGAAGCCGATTGCAATGGTCCTGCGTCAGCCGAGTGCCACGGTGACAAGTTCAATGATAATTGTGATTGTTTTGAAAACTGCAAAAACTTGATTAAAAACGTAATACATTAGTTATTCCATTATTGTATCTTTTTCCAAATCCATCATTTTTTTTTATTTTCTGTTGAAAAAAATATATCTATATTTTGCTCAAATGATACAATCATCCAGGTTTTTTGATGCATATATACGAACTGCTTCTACGACTACTGAGCAGTCAATCTTATTTCATGAAAATTTCCGAAAGATAATTTATTCTTGACTTCATTAAAGACAAGTACAAAAACAACCCTGATTAAAGGCAACTTTGTATAATAAAATTCGTCAACTACTGGGAAATTTCTAAAAGAAGTTTATTAATTTTGATTTATTTGTTTACTAGTTTATGAGTTATTCATTTATTAGATTGTTACTTCTGCAATATTATTCATTTTTGTCGGTATCTAAATTTAGTTTACAAAGTTATTAGCGAAGCATTTTCTAGCGAAGTAAATCAAAAGCTAGTTTTTACACTAGATGAGATTTTTGCTTATACGCAACTTTCATTTATTTTAGTTATCCAAACAAAATTTTTAAAAAACGCAACTTTTATTCATAGTGAGGGCTGATAAGTAAAGATTAAGACCACTGATTTCAAAATATAACTTATATTTTGAGTTATATTTTGAGATTAGTGATTAAGACTTTCGTGAGTGCGGGCATGTTAGAAGCAACTTTTTGGTTTTAACTTGTTCTTTAGGTTAAAGCTAAAAAGAGAAAATTGGGTTCCAAAAAATTTTTACATTTGGGGCCGGGACCCATGGAGTCAAACTTATTACAGTCAGTAAAAAAAATTATTGTAAATTTTGAAGATATATATCTTATACAAAAGAGCTTGTCAAGCGGAACAAAAGATTTGTAAAAACCATATACTGAAAACGATTAATCAAAATGCATCATTGATATATAGCAATGATATATAGAATGTATAAAACATAAAAATGGTACTTTCATTCCAGATTTGTTATATATCAATGATGCATTTTGTTAAAAGAGTTGTCATTGATATAAATTTTCTATTAAACGAATGAAAGTTCGTTCTATGGGAATTTATGTTTTTTCATTGGCATGTTCTTTTATTACGATTAATGTTTAATTTGAAATTATATGAATAATACAAAAGATAATGGAACTATATATATAATACAAAATATAAAAAAGCGATATGAAGGATGTTACTAACTGTAAACGAAGGAGATCACAAAATGAATTTTCGAGATGCATTATTTGTCACAAAGATGATACTAAGAAAAAGGCCAGTACAGTATTGTAGCAATTTTTCTATCTTATCTAAATTTAGACATTTTATTATAAATTTATCTTGAGAGTCGTTACCAATATTAATGGCACCACATTTGTCAGATTTTCAATTCATTTTAATTACATCTTCAGAATTGGTGAGTTCCATGTTGTATTAGCCTTTTTAAAAATAATGGGCAAATATATAGAGGGTAGTGGACTTGACGCAGTCCTTGCAGAGTCAGGTATAAACGAATATATATCCGTTTATATATATACAACGTTATGTCAAATTGTTGACGGAAAGCACATGAAGCGATCCATAGAAGCACATATAAATATTTATGTTTCTTTTAACAAGTTTTTTTAGAAATCTCATTACAGCAACATCCACAACTCATAAATGAAATTCGGATTGGAAAAAATAAACTTGTTAATGCTATAGCTGACGAGTGCAATTTGAAAGTAGTTACTGAAAATTGTGTTTTAGGTATCAAAGATTACGGGGTTTTTATTATTCTTGATGAATTTGATAAAAGTCAATCACAAAAACCACTATTCCTGCGTAACTACATGATCATGTGTTAAGCTTTGCTAACCTTTGTTCATCTCGTGAAAAAAACTGGTCA